ACGTTCATACTATTAACGACGAATAGTACAATCAAACTGAAGTATGTTTGGCCAAATTAATTAAGGGAGATGCGTATGCCTGTCCATAATGGCCAGAGTGTTAGGCAAGAATGAGCCTATATCTCAACCCCGGTCTTGGCATTTGTTCCAATTAAGATGTCGTGGAACAGTTCTCTTCCAATCGAAAGTTGAACCCAAATAGGCAAAAAGGTGCTCACATTGTCCATAGTAGACGGAGGTTACACATAATTTGGAGTTGAATGGGCAGGAAAAGAAAAAAAAGAAAGGGATTGAATCTAAGTTATAAAAGAATGAAAAAATGTCTCTATTGGATATATTTACATGGCTTAATGGGTCAGTGACTAGCCTGTAACAACTAGCAGAACGAAGGGGAGTAGATGGAGCACCAAATTTTGGAAAGTATGCTCTCAACCACAATTGAGCAAGCCAAAGAGGCCCACTGTCAGTGGGAGATGCACCATTCTTCAATTGAAATTAGAGGGAAGCCATACCTCTATAAAATGCGGCTAAAAATAAAGAACAGAGATTCAAAGGTCTACCACGCGTCAATTCATGCGCTATGGGTAGATAATTCATAAAAGGTTTCATATTGGGCGCACAAAGAATATATTTACAAAGCTAAATTTGAAAAAAGGCCACACGCTCAACATGAGAAGGTTCAGCGCAAGAATGATTATAAAGTCCTTGCATGCCCGAATAGGACTCGTCAGTTTTTTGTCAAATTTTGGAGTAGTGCTAATAGCCAAAATACCAGGAAAAATGGTATCGCCCAAGGGCGGAAGATTTACTAGGGCTCCAACGTCCCTTAAGGTAATAGACATTGGACCAAACATGAAAACAAATGTATTATATTCAGAAGACCAAAAACTCAAAGCAATAGGAAAAAACGCTGGGTCGAAAATTGGGGGTTGAAGAGCAATTTCTAATAAATCTGAAATCCTAGCGCGATCAGAAATTGCTTTGGTGGTGCCATGACTTACCATGCGTGCATGCCATCTACGAAAACTAGCATCAGTTTTAGGCCAAGTGCGAATACCTTTATCGCGAATCGGCTTTAGTGGCAAAGAGTTCAGAAACGGAGGGCCTTGAGTGCAGGGGAACATCTGACCCACCGCTGCTTGTCTGATAGATTCAACATCATTAAACGATGAACCCAGATAAAACTCATGGAGGTCAGGGTTGGTCGGTGAATGAAAGTTTGAGTTTATATAGGGTCTGGTGATGAGGTTTTGGAAATCCTCGAAACTAAGAGAGTTAACAGCAGAAGTTTGTGAAGTCGTCATTTGATGTAAAATACAGTCTCTGTGAGATTTACTTAAGAACCGTAGTAGGGAAGCAAGAAGATGAACATAAATAGTGAGAGAGAAGCACGAAATTTAGAGATGTGGGTTAATGGCGCTATGAAGTGGTGTGTCATTCGATCTATAACGGTTACGTGATATTGCACTTTTTAAGGATTACCGCCAAATGTAAATAATCATTACAATTATCCGCTCTTTTCCGAGAAAGTAAGTATTGCCAGAAAGAATATAGCATAAGATTAATACTTGACATTAATTTTGCCATATTTGGGGGTAATTGTTGACATACAAAAATGAGGCCCAATTATGTGGTCCAAGAAATGGAGCTCAGTTAGGGAAATTGAGGAATGAGCCCAAATAAGACAATTGTAAAATATAGTGACAGCCCACGAGCAGAGGATTATCATCGTCCAAGCCTGCAGAACGCCAAGGATCTGAGTAAATGAAGTGCCCTATTGTCGGTCAGAACGACGATCTCACTTTCGCCCAAGCCTTCGAGACGTCTAAGGTCCGAATGAATATAGCGTTTTGTTCAGTTATTGAAGCGGTTATTGAGCAACTTTATTACACCTCACGGTCCAAGAATCTCAGTTACAAGCAATTAAATAACAAGAGTAATAACAACAGTTGCGAATAACGATTCCTTGATAAGTCAACCACCGCGAAGAAAGTTGGTAGTTATAGAGCGCCAAGCAGTTTCCAAGCAATTTTACAAGAGAAAACCTGCGAAGAAGTATAAAAAGGACAAGAAAACATAGAAGGAAGGACCCCCGAATCAAACATTCTCAACAGAAAATATGTAATTTCAATTTCTTTACTTTCTATTTGTAAACTTTCAATTTACTTCGTGTACTTGTGCTTTTTGGAGGCGTTTTGCTACTTTCCAATTGTAATTTTCATAAATAAAGCACTCATTTTTGGGACTTCGTCTCAAGAGTTTTGTTCCTTACACAATCGTTTGAACCTATTTTTAATTGTTAGCGGTAATTCGCGCGAAACAGTACCTAATGTCCCAATGAAAATCATTGTATTGTTCCAATATCTTCATCCCACCATCATCACTCCAAAACTTGCATAAAAGAATTCTGGTTCAATTTGTTCTCTGTTGTCCCGATATAGCATCCAAGCAGCATTATCTCCGTACAAGGTTATTCAGTTTTCCCTTGTAGATTTTAGCCTGCGTAATAATCTGTAATTAGATGATACTTTAGGGCCAGATTTTCCATCTTCAAGTAGAGAATTTAACATCCAATTTTGAATGGCAAACCATTTGCTTCTAGCACTATTAACCCTCTTAAGAGATTTTCAAATGGCATCCTACAGAGATCAAATGTTCCAATTTCAAGCCCAAATGCTTTTATATTTTCTACATAATTTAACTTATGCCTGCAGGGATCCCTTTTTTTGTTTGCCAATAATTTTAATGTTAACATTGTTTCTTTACGACTCCGCCTATTTTTCGGAGTGACATTGAGGTCTCTTTCTTTCATTATGAGTGATATTTTGATCTCTTTCTTTTACTATTTCGAGGTATTCGAACCTCTTTTGGAGTCTAAGTTAACTTCGACTTGCGTCGATGTTAACCTCTTTAGTGATCTATTCGATTTTTATGGAGTACCATATTTTTTATAGGAATCGATATCTCTATCATGCTTGAGGCATGCATTGGATTTAATAACTATAACATATATCCTATTAGGACATCAATACAAGTTGGAGAATTATAGCGGTATTTATTCATAATGCATTTGACAATTGATTATTATATTATGAGCTTCTAGTACTCGTATCGTCTTTTTCAACTATTTAATTTCTCTTCTAATGATGAAATTTTTTAGTTCCTTGCGTGAGTTGATCATTTTCATTATTTCTCTTTTGGATCCTTCAACAATATTTGATGTATATGATATCTGGTTAACATTATTTACTGCTAAAGTTAATTCAAAGTAGTTCCTTTCGTATCAAAGAATAATGCGTACATTTTCAGTGTCTAACTATACATACAAGTTGACAATATTATACATAAAATGGCATCCAAGAATAAGGAATAAAGACCTAAAATAAACTTTATTCAATCATAAATATTTCAAAATTCAAATTGAATCTTTAATATTTAATAATAATAAAAGAATGAACATATTTAAATAAAAAAACTGAGATTTTAATCTTGAATAAGCATATGAAAATAAGCTAATCTAATTTCCAAGCACATCACATCACCTTCAATCAAATGATTAATATTGTCACTCCATTCAGCGAAAACCAAAGGCATCTACGGCAGTCACACCAATTGGACCGTCAATGTTTTCTTTTCCTCTGATAGATTTTTGGTAGAGATTCAGAAGATGTTTTATCATACGACGAGTATGAGACCAAAGCCTTTTCATACCATATCTATAACAAGTATCTTTGTACTCATTCTATGCTAAGCTATTTTCTTTAGCATCAACTGTTCTTGCTGGTAATTTAGTTTCTGCTTCTTTGAATTGCTAAATTGTTGCTCATAATTTTGTCCATAGCTTTGTTCGTGTCCACGTCTACGTCCGCATCTATGTCCACTTCTGTGCCTGCATCTGCGACAATAGCTTGATATTGCATGTGCTTCAAGTAATGGAATACCATTTGCTTCATGCAATGTTGTAGAATCAGTTGAATATAACCTAACAATTTATCGTTTTATTCAACGACTAACATGAAATAGATGAATTCATAGTACTTTTTGAAACCACGTTCCTTGCATTGCTGCAGCAGGAACACATTTGAGACATGAAAAGTAGATAATTCTTTCAAGCATTTCTGCATCAGTTACTTTTTCTTGTGGGTCCTTCATAGTAAGCTATTTAATTTTCAATCTCTCGTGAAGGTGATGACGAACGAGAATTAGTGCTTTTGCACGATCTTGTATGGATCTTGGATCTTTATTTTCTTCTTTTAATATGATTCCCAAACCTTTTAAGATAAGATAAACTTCAGAATCGAGGATCCATGATATGTAATTTTTGCCTGATACGTTGAGTTCAATAAAATCAACTTTCCTGATGTTTGCCATATGAACAAATATAGAACGAAACAAAAGGAAATACGATCTACTTTTGAAAATATGATTAAACACTATATATTCGTATAAAAATCAATTTAAGAGTCAACATATTAATATATCTAAGAACGGATGCATGACCGAATTATTTTACTTATTTATTTTATACAGGATTAATAAGTAACAAAAAATTACACATTAAAAAAAAAAAAATCTTTTTTACACAAAAAATATTTAACACCTCAAAAATTGAAAGTGGGTTGGGGCAAAATCCGCCAGCGAATATGTCAATACCAACAGGATATGATAATTGTATGTAGATCACATTTTATCATAAGATTAATTAGATCATATAATATTTTTTGAAATATGTAGAACATAATTAAAAAATAATTTAAAATGTTCTTCATGAACAAGTAATTTTATGCTAGAATATTAATTAATATATGCTTCTTCAAAAGCAACAAAAATTATTATTTTAAAAATATTGATCAACTATATAAAGATTTGCTCTTTATGAGCAATAGCAATAATATATATATAAGGGAACAATTGACATATTCGCATAAACTTGAAACTTTGCAATCAGTTTTGAGAAAAAAAAAAAAATTTATTTATTAAATCATCTTGAAATTTTGAAATACAAAGAACAAATGAAAGAATTTCTTTTTTAACAGTAGAATAATTAATTTGAGGTCCAATCCAAACACCAGAATAGTATCGGACTAACTGTTCTTGATTTGACCCTTCTGGAATCTGCTTTAAGA